CCATAGCCAACAACACTGTTACAACGTTGCCTCTACGACCACGCGTTTTACTACCCAACAATGTCTAATACGTCGTCCATGTGAACTATGATGGGGATGGCAGCGTTCTTACTGATGTTCTTTTTTATCTAACCTTACCCCGGGTAATGATGCCTCGCGACTAGTGACTAAAAGTGTTACTTTGACCTCGTCTGAAGGTTAAATGGAGAATGTGTACCAACAACGGTGACCTGGAGGCGGTGACCCTGCTGAGCCGGATTTAAACAAGTTATATATTATTACACTATACCTTAATGACAGACGCGAATGAAATCTGGCATTCCTGACATCAAATTTTGCAACGTAGAATCTGACTTTGTGAAAAAAACCGTGTAAAATGTGACATAATAACTACTGTATTTCCACGCTAACCTGGCCCGTAAGCCACGCCCCTCATCTATAGCTACAAATAGTTGATTGGTTGATAGAAAATGTTAAATATTTGTCGTAAAAGGTCTTGAAATCATTTGCATTTTGATTGTCCAGATATTTAACATCATTTTAGAGAATAACAAGCGCTCAGTCTGTTGTTCCTGACAGTGAGTATAAACGCGCACCCAACCACATCTACCACAGTCTACGTCAGCCTCACCACCACACACCCACCACTGTCCACATCATCACCCACCACTGTCCACATCATCACCCACCACTGTCCACATCATCACCCACCACTGTCCACATCATCACCCACCACTGTCCACATCATCACCCCACTGTCCACATCCTCCCCATCACTTCCCACATCATCACCCACCACTGCCCACATCACCCCACTCCCTCATCACCCACCACTGCCCATCATCACCCACCACTGCCCACATCATCACCCACCACTGCCCACCCCATCATCACCCACCACCACACCACTGCACATCATCACCCCACCTCACATCATCACCACCACTGCCCACATCATCACCCACCACTGCCCACATCATCACCCACCACCCATCTCACACCCACCACTGTCATCATCACCCACCACTGTCCACATCATCACCCCACTGTCCATCATCACCACTGTCCACATCATCACCCACCACTGCCCACATCATCACCCACCACTGTCACATCATCACCCACCACTGCCCACATCATCACCCTACCCACATCATCACCCACCACTGCCCATCATCACCCACCACTGCCCACATCATCACCCACCACTGTCCACATCATCACCCACCACTGTCCATCATCACCCCACTGTCCATCATCCACCACTGCCCACATCATCACCCACCACGCTCCTCCAGCCTCGCCACACCCTCTTATTTCTATACACACATAAAACCCAACACCCATGACTTAGCCACACCCATCCATGCTACACACACACACACACACACATTGCTGCATGTCAACATTCATTCATGGAATCATGAGTGTGAGAGGACTGCACACACCGGTCCTGACTCCTCCCCAGCAGTATTAGGTTTACCATTCCTTCCTTCCTTCCTTCCTTCCTTCCTTCCTTCCTTCCTTCCTTCCTTCCTTCCTTCCTTCCTGCCTATCCTACACACCCTGTGGTAACCCGTGTCTTCAACAGCAGCGTCGCAGTAGTAGTATCACTTGTTTATGAATGAATGGGTATTGGTAGTGTAACGACGGACGTGATAATTGGATAAGTTTGCTGTAGGTCATCTGTTTTCGTAGAGAGAGAAGGGGAAAGAATATAAGAGGTGGAGGAAGGAAATTATAGCTTGGAAATTGAAGAAATGTAGGAGGAGGTAGGAAAGGGTGACAGCTTGTACACCTTAAACAATTTCACGCCTAGGTGGTCCGAGGGCCGGCCATTATTCCAAGAGTTTATGGGAGAACAAGTCCCCCGTCCTCTCTTCATCCTCCTCCTCCTTCCTGACATTCCCTCATTCCTTTCCTCCCCTCTCTCCTTAATCTTCCTTCCCTTATCCTCCACCTTCTTCCTCCCCTCCTCCTCATCTTCCTTCCCTTATCCTCCACCTCCTCCCTCCTCCTCATGCTGATAATACAGATCCTCAGTGTGGGCGTCCCTCAGTGTGGGCGTCCCTCAGTGTGGGCATCCCTCAGTGTGGGCGTCCATCAGTGTGGGCGTCCCTCAGTGTGGGCGTCCATCAGTGTGGGCGTCCATCAGTGTGGGCGTCCATCAGTGTGGGCGTCCCATCAGTATGGGCGTCCCCGTGGGCGTCCTCCGTGGGCGTCCCTCCTGTGGGCGTCCCCTGGTGTGGGCGTCCATCAGTGTGGGCGTCCCAATGGGCGTCTCCAGTGTGGGCGTCCTCGTGTGGGCGTCCCTCAGTGTGGGTGTCCTCAGTGGTGTCCCTAGTGTGGGTGTCCTCAGTGTGGGTGTCCCTCAGTGTGGGCGTCCTCAGTGTGGGCGTCCATCAGTGTGGGCGTCCCTCAGTGTGGGCGTCCTCAGTGTGGGCGTCCATCAGTGTGGGCGTCCATCAGTATGTGCGTCTCAGTGTGGCGTCCCTCAGTGGGCGTCCTCTGTGGGTGTCCTCAGTGTGGGCGTCCTCAGTATGGGCGTCCTCAGTGTGGGCGTCCTCAGTATGGGCGTCCCTCAGGGGCGTTCCTCAGTGTGGGCGTCCTTCAGTATGGGCGTCCCTCAGTATGGGCGACCCTCAGTGGGCGTCCTCGTGTGGGCGTCCTCAGTGTGGTGTCCTCATTCGTGGGTGTCCTCATTGTGGGTGTCCTCATGTATGGGTCCCTCAGTGTGGTCCCTCAGTGTGGGCAACCCTCCAGTGTGGGCGTCCTCAGTATGGGCGTCCTCATTGTGGGTGTCCTCACATGTGGGTGTCCCTCAGTGTGGGCGTCCCTCAGTGTGGGCGTCCTCAGTGTGGGTGTCCCTCATTGTGGTGTCCCTCAGCATGGGCGTCCCTCAGTGTGGGTGTCCTCATTGTGGGTGTCCCTCAGCTATGGGCGTCCCTCATTGTGGGTGTCCCTCAGTATGCGCGTCCCTCAGTATGGGCCCTCATTGTGGGTGTCCCTCAGCATGGGCGTCCCTCAGTGTGGGTGTCCTCAGCATGGGCGTCCCTCAGTGTGGGTGTCCTCATTGTGGGTGTCCTCATTGTGGGTGTCCCTCAGTATGCGCGTCACTCAGTATGGGCGTCCTCAGTGTGGGTGTCCCTCAGTGTGGGTGTCCTCAGCATGGGCGTCCTCAGTGTGGGTGTCCCTCATTGTGGGTGTCCTCATTGTGGGTGTCCTCAGTATTGGCGTCCCTCATTGTGGGTGTCCCTCAGTATGGGCGTCCTCATTGTGGGTGTCCTCAGTATGGGCGTCCCTCATTGTGGGTGTCCCTCAGTATGGGCGTCCTCATTGGGGTGTCCAGTATGGGCGTCCTCATTGTGGGTGTCCCTCAGTATGGCGTCCCTCATTGTGGGTGTCCCTCAATGTGACCCTCAGTATGCGCGTCCTCAGTATGGGCGTCCCTCATTGTGGGTGTCCTCAGTATGGGCGTCCTCATTGTGGGTGTCCTCAGTATGGGCGTCCTCATTGTGGGTGTCCCTCAGTATGGGCGTCCTCATTGGGTGTCCTCATGGGCGTCCTCATTGTGGGTGTCTCTCAGTATGGGCGTCCCCTCATTGTGGGTGTCTCAGTATGGGCGTCCTCATTGTGGGTGTCCCTCAGTATGGGCGTCCTCATTGTGGGTGTCCCTCAGTATGGGCGTCCTCAGTGTGGGTGTCCCTCAGTATGGGTGACCCTCATTGTGGGTGACCCCTCATTGTGGGTGTCTCTCAGTATGGGCGACCCTCATTGTGAGGTGTCCCTCAGTATGGGTGTCCCTCATTGTGGGTGTCCCTCAGTATGGGCGTCCCTCATTGTGGGTGTCCCTAGTGGGCGTCCCTCATTGTGGGTGTCCCTCAATGGGCGTCCTCAGTGTGGGTGTCCTCAGTGTGGGTGTCCTCAGTATGGGCGTCCTCATTGTGGGTGTCCCTCAGTAGCTGGCTCTCATTGTGGGTGTCCCTCAGTATGGGCGTCCCTCAATGTGGGTGTCCTCAGTATGGGTGACCCTCAGTATGCGTCCCTCAGTATGGGCGTCCCTCATTGTGGGTGTCCCTCAGTATGGGTGACCCTCATTGTGGGTGTCCTCAGTATGGGTGACCCTCATTGTGGGTGTCCCTCAGTATGGGCGTCCTCATTGTGGGTGTCCTCAGTATGGGTGACCCTCGTGGGTGTCCTCAGTATGGGTGACCCTCATTGTGGGTGTCCCTCAGTATGGGCGTCCTCATTGTGGGTGTCCTCAGTATGGGCGTCCTCATTGTGGGTGTCCCTCAGTATGGGCGACCCTTAGTGTGGGTGTCCCTCAGTATGGGCGTCCTCATTTTGGGTGTCCTCAGTATGGGTGACCCTCAGTATGCGCGTCCTCAGTATGGGCGTCCTCATTGTGGGTGTCCCTCAGTATGGGTGTCCCTCATTGTGGGTGTCCTTCAGTATGGGTGACCCTCATTGTGGGTGTCCCTCAGTGGTCTGACCCTCATTGTGGGTGTCCCTCAGTATGGTCGTCCCTCATTGTGGGTGTCCTCAGTATGGGCGTCCCTCATTGTGGGTGTCCTCAGTGGGTGACCCTCATTGTGGGTGTCCTCAGTATGGGCGACCCTTAGTGGGTGTCCTCAGTATGGGCGTCCCTCAGTGTGGGTGTCCCTCAGTATGGGCGTCCTCAGTGTGGGTGTCCCTCAGTATGGGCGTCCTCATTGTGGGTATCCTCAGTATGGGCGTCCCTCAGTGTGGGTGTCCCTCAGGCGTCCTCATTGTGGGTATCCTCAGTACGGGCGTCCTCAGTGTGGGTGTCCTCAGTATGGGCGTCCCTCATTGTGGTATCCTCAGTATGGGCGTCCCTCAGTGTGGGTGTCCCTCAGTATGGGCGTCCTCATTGTGGGTATCCTCAGTATGGGCGTCCCTCAGTGTGGGTGTCCTCAGTATGGGCGACCCTCATTGTGGGTATCCTCAGTGTGGGCGTCCTTAGTGTGGGTGTCCTCAGTATGGGCGTCCTCATTGTGGGTATCCTCATTATGGGCGTCCCTCAGTGTGGGTGTCCTCAGTATGGGAGTCCCTCAGTGTGGAGTGCCCTCAGTATGGGCGTCCCTCATTGTGGGTGTCCCTCAGTATGGGCGTCCTCATTGTGGGTGTCCCTCAGCATGGGCGTCCCTCATTGTGGGTATCCCTCAGTATGGGCGTCCTCAGTGTGGGTGTCCTCAGTATGGGCGTCCTCATTGTGGGTGTCCTCAGTATGGGCGTCCTCATTGTGGGTGTCCCTCAACATGGGCGTCCCTCAGTGTTGGTGTCCCTCAGTATGGGCGTCCCTCATTGTGGGTGTCCCTCAGTATGGGCGACCCTCATTGTGGGTATCCCTCAGCATGGGCGTCCCTCAGTGTTGGTGTCCCTCAGTATGGGCGTCCCTCAGTGTGGGTGTCCTCAGTATGGGCGTCCCTCATTGTGGGTGTCTCAGTATGGGCGTCTCTCAGTGTGGGTGTCCTCAGTATGGGCGTCCCTCATTGTGGGTGTCCTCAGTATGGGCGACCCTTAGTGTTGGTGTCCTCAGTATGGGCGTCCTCAGTGTGGGTGTCCCTCAGTGTGGGTGTCCCTCAGTATGGGCGTCCCTCATTGTGGGTGTCCTCAGTATGGGCGTCCCTCAGCATGGGCGTCCCTCATGGGCGTCCCTAGTGTGGGTGTCCCTCAGTGTGGGTATCCCTCAGTATGGGCGTCCCTCAGTGTGGGTGTCCCTCAGTATGGGCGGCCCCTCAGTATGGGTAACCCTCAGCATGGGCGTCCTCATTGTGGGTGTCCCTCATTGTGGGTGTCCTCAGTATGGGTGACCCTCAGCATGGGCGTCCCTCAGTGTGGGTGTCCCTCAGTATGGGCGGCCCTCAGTATGGGTAACCCTCAGCATGGGCGTCCTCATTGTGGGTGTCCTCATTGTGGGTGTCCTCAGTATGGGTGACCCTCAGCATGGGCGTCCCTCATTGTGGGTGTCCTCATTGTGGGTCTCAGTATGGTGTCCTCAGTATGGGTAACCCTCAGCATGGGCGTCATTGTGGGTGTCCCTCAGTGTGGGCGTCCCTCATTGTGGTGTCCTCAGTATGGGTAACCCTCAGCATGGGCGTCCTCATTGTGGGTGTCCTCAGTATGGGTAACCCTCAGCATGGGCGTCCCTCATTGTGGGTGTCCCTCAGTGTGGACGTCCCTCATTATCGTCCTCAGTATGGGCGTCCCGTGTGGGTGTCCTCAGTATGGGCGTCCTCATTGTGGGTGTCCCTCGCATGGGCGTCCCTCAGTGTTGGTGTCCCTCGGTATGGGCGTCCCTCATTGTGGGTGTCCCTCAGTATGGGCGACCCTCATTGTGGGTATCCTCAGCATGGGCGTCCTCAGTGTTGGTGTCCTCAGTATGGGCGTCCCTCAGTGTGGGTGTCCTCAGTATGGGCGTCCTCAGTGTGGGTGTCCTCAGTGTGGGCGTCCCTCATTGTGGTGTCCTCAGTATGGGCGACCCTTAGTGTGGGTGTCCTCAGTATGGGCGTCCCTCAGTGTGGGTGTCCTCAATATGGGTTTCCTCAGTGTGGGTGTCCCTCAGTATGGGCGTCCCTCAGTATGGGCGTCCCTCATTGTGGGTGTCCTCAGTATGGGCGTCCTCAGTATGGGCGTCCCTCAGTATGGGCGTCTCAGTGTGGGCTTCCTCAGTGTGGGCGTCCTCAGTGTGGGCCCTCCCTCAGTGTGGGCGTCCCTCAGTGGGCGTCCTCAGTATGGGCGTCTCTCGTGCGGGCGACACACAGTGTGGGCGTCCTCAGTGTGGGCGTCCCTCAGTGTGGGTGTCCTGTGTGGGTGTCCTCATTGTGGGTGTCCCTCAGTGTGGGTGTCCTCAGTATGGGCGACCCTTGGTGTCCCTCGTGGGCGTCCCTCAGTATGGGCGTCCGTCAGTATGGGCGTCCTCAGTGTGGGTATCCTCAGTATGGGCGTCCTCATTGTGGGTGTCCTCAGTATGGGCGTCCCTCAGTGTGGGTGTCCCTCAGTATGGGCGTCCCTCATTGTGGGTGTCCCTCAGTATGGGCGTCCCTCAGTGTGGTGTCCTCAGTATGGGCGTCCTCAGTGTGGGTGTCCCTCAGTAGGCGTCCTCAGTGTGGGTGTCCCTCAGTATGGGCGTCCCTCAGTGTGGTGTCCTCAGTATGGGCGTCCTCAGTGTGGGTGTCCTCAGTATGGGCGTCCCTCAGTGTGGGTGTCCTCAGTATGGGCGTCCCTCAGTGTGGGTGTCCCTCAGTATGGGCGTCCTCAGTGTGGGCGTCCCTCAGTATGGGCGTCCCTCAGTGTGGGTGTCCTCAGTATGGGCGTCCTCAGTGTGGGTATCCTCAGTATGGTCCTCATTGTGGGTGTCCCTCAGTATGGGCGTCCTCAGTGTGGGCGTCTCAGTATGGGTGACCCTCAATCCTCAGCATGGGCGTCCTCAGTGTGGGTGTCCTCAGTGTGGGTATCCTCAGTATGGGCGTCCCTCAGTGTGGGTGTCCCTCAATGGGCGGCCCTCAGTATGGTAACCCTCAGTATGGGTAACCCTCAGCATGGGCGTCCCTCATTGTGGGTGTCCTCAGTGTGGGTGACCCTCAGTGTGGGTGTCCTCAGTATGGGCGTCTCATTGTGGGTGTCCCTCAGTATGGGAACCCTCACATGGTCCCTCATTGTGGGTGTCCTCAGTATGGGTAACCCTCATGGGCGTCCTCATTGTGGTGTCCTCAGTATGGGTAACCCTCAGCATGGGCGTCCTCATTGTGGGTGTCCTCAGTATGGGTAACCCTCAGCATGGGCGTCCTCATTGTGGGTGTCCCTCAGTATGGGTAACCCTCAGCATGGGCGTCCCTCATTGTGGGTGTCCTCAGTATGGGTAACCCTCAGCATGGGCGTCCCTCATGGTGTCCCTCAGTATGGGTAACCCTCAGCATGGGCGTCCCCTCATTGTGGGTGTCCCTCAGTGTGGGCGTCCCTCATTGTGGGCGTCCCTCATTGTGGGTGTCCCTCAGTATGGGTGACCCTCATTACGGGCGGTTTACTTATATTTGTATCGTGTAAGTTTTTTTAGTTACCTGTACTGCCCCTTACTGTACCTGTACTGTACCTGTACTGTACTGTCCTGCTGTACTGCCCCTTACTGTACCTGTACTGTACTGTCCCTGTACTGTGCCCTTACTGTACCTGTACTGTACTATACCTGTACTGTACTGTCCCTGTACTATACCTGTACAGTACTGCCACTTACTGTACCTGTATGTGTAATTATCTTCCATACCTGTAACTAATTAATTTCACCTGTACAATCCCTCAAAAAACGTATCTTCACGGAGCTGATCGATGAGTCTCAGAATGAACACTGACTCCTATTGTCTCGGTATGGTTGTCATAATCCTTCGTCCGTTGTCATATTGTCTCACATAATTATTTTTGGAGGGAACACACCTGTATTTATAATTATTTACTGTAATTACCTTTATATTTGTAATTATTTGACCTGTATGTAAATTATCGGTATGGGAATAATGGTGAAGTCGAAACGTGTGAGGAGAGAAGTACAGGTGGGTCGTTATACCTGTGTGTGAGACCAGAAGCCTGGCCACCTGAGGGACCACCGAGTCCCTCTCTCTCTCTCTCTCTCTCTCTCTCTCTCTCTCTCTCTCTCTCTCTCTCTCTCTCTCTCTCTCTCTCTCTCTCTCTCTCTCTCTCTCTCTCTCTCTCTCTCTCTCTCTCTCTCTCTCTCTCTCTCTCTCTCTCTCTCTCTCTCTCTCTCTCTCTCTCTCTCTCTCTCTCTCTCTCTCTCTCTCTCTCTCTCTCTCTCTCTCTCTCTCTCTCTCTCTCTCTCTCTCTCTCTCTCTCTCTCTCTCTCTCTCTCTCTCTCTCTCTCTCTCTCTCTCTCTCTCTCTCTCTCTCTCTCTCTCTCTCTCTCTCTCTCTCTCTCTCTCTCTCTCTCTCTCTCTCTCTCAGGTGTGGTGACGTGTAAGAAGTGTGGTGACAGGTGTAGGGGAAGTGTGGTGACAGGTGTAGGGGAAATGTGGTGACAGGTGTAGGGAAGGTGTGAGTGACAGATGTAGGGAAGGTGTGAGTGACAGATGTAGGGAAGGTGTGAGTGACAGGTGTAGGGGAAGTGTGGTGACAGGTGTAGGGGAAGTTTGGTGACAGGTGTAGGTGAACATAAGAAAATAAGGAGTCTGCAATAGGCCGGTTGGCCTGTGCATGGCAGCTCCTGTCGAGAGTTACTACCACTCTCTATCATCCATGAATCTATCTAGCCTCCTTTTAAAACTTTCCAGAGTTCCCTTACTACAAAGTTGCTAAGCTTGTTCCACTCGTCCACCACCCTATTTGTAGTTCCTTCCTATCTCCCTTCTGAACCTAAACTTATCCAACTTAAATCCGTTGTTATTAGTCCTATCCTGCTCGGATATTATAAGAACTTTATCTATATCGCCTTTGTTGATTCCTTTCACCCACTTAAATACTTCTATCATATCTCCCCGCACTCTTCGTTTTTCTAGGGAATGCAAGTTAAGTTTCTTTAACCTATCTTGATATGGAAGGTTTCTAAGTCCCGGAATCATTTTCGTCATTCTTCGCTGCACCGACTCCAGTGAATTGATATCCATTCTTTAATAGGGGCACCAGAACTGAACCGCATAATCGAGGTGCGGCCTAACTAGCGCAAGATATAGTTGCAATAAGACCTCTGCACTCTTATTACTTACACTTCTAGATATAAAACCTAATACTCTGTTTGCCTTATTTCAAACATTAACGCACTGGTTTCTAGGCCTTAGGTCCGGGCTTACAGATACCCCTAGGTCTCTTTCACAAGTCGACTTCTCTAGGTTGATGTTGTTAAGGCTGTATACATTATCAGTATTTGTTCTTCCAATATTAAGTAGGCTGCACTTGCCGGTGTTGAATTTCATTTGCCATTTTTCAGACCACCCCTGCAGTTTATTTAAATCTCCTGTAGTGCATTTGCATCCTGCCCTGAATTAATCTACCGCCCTATTTTGGTGTCATCCGCAAACTTGCTTATGTCACTGCTGATCCCAGTATCTTGATCGTTTATGTAGATTATGAACAAGAGTGGGCCCAGTACTGACCCCTGGGGAACCCCACTGGTTACACAGCCCCAGGTGTGGGGGTGTGGTGACAGGTGTAGACAGGTGTAGGGGAGGTGTGGTGACAGGTGTAGGGGAGGTGTGGTGACAGATGTAGGGAAGGTGTGGTGACAAGTGTAGGGAGGTCCAACAAGGTATGGTGGAGATAACAGGTGACCTGGATCACCTGAGCCAACACACGCCATCACGGCTCCTCCCCATACTGTCTAGACGGTGACCTCGTGTGTGTGTGTGTCAGGGACAATTATACCATGGCCCATTATAACCCCCGCCCTACCTCCATACCTACACACAGCCACCTCACTATACCAACATGTGTGTACACGATGTGGGGTGTGGTGTGGTAGTAGAGTGTGGTGTGAGGGTAGTGGGGTGTGGTGTGAGGTAGTAGAGTGTGGTGTGAGGGTAGTAGGGTGTGGTGTGAGGGTAGGTGGTTGAGGGGTAGTGGGGTGTGGTGTGAGGGGTACTAGGGTGTGGTGTGGTAGTGGGTGTGGTGTGGGGGTGGTGGTTGTGGTGTGGGGTGGTAAGTGTGGTGTGGTGGTGGGGGTGTGTGGGGTGTGGGGTGTGGGGTGTGGTGTGGTGGGGTGTGGTGTGGTGGTGGGGTGTGGTTGGTAGTAGGGTGTGGTGTGGTAGTAGAGTGTGGTGTGAGGGTAGTAGAGTGTGGTGTGAGGGTAGTAGGGTGTGGTGTGAGGGTAGTAGGGTGTGAGGGTAGTAGGGTGTGGTGTGAGGGTACTAGGGTGTGGTGTGGTGTGTGTGGGGTGGTGTGTGTGTGGTGTGTGTGGTGTGGTGTGGTGTGGTGTGGTGTGAGGGTGGTAGTGTGGTGAGGGTAGTGGGGCGTGGTGTGGTAGTAGAGTGTGGTGTGGGAGGTAGGGGTGTGGTGTGAGGGTGGTGGGGTGTGGGTGGGTGTGGTGAGGTGTGGTGTAGGGTGTGGTGTGGTGTGTGGGGTGTGGTGTGAGGTAGTAGGGTTTGGTGTGAGGGGTAGTGGTGTGTGGTGTGGTGGGGTGGGGGTGTGTGGTGTGTGGTGTGGGTGTGGTAGTAGAGTGTGGTGTGGGGTGTAGGGGTGTGGTGTGGGGTGTGGGGTGGTGGTGTGGTGTGGGGTAGTGTGGTGTGGGGTGAGGGTAGGGGTGTGGGTGTGTGGGGTAGTAGGGTGTGGTGTGGTGGTGTGGGTGTGGTGTGGGGTAGTAGTGTGGTGTGGGTAGTGGTGGTAGAGGTGTGGTGGTAGTGTGGTGTGAGGGTAGTAGGTGTGGTGTGGTGGTAGTGTGGTGTGAGGGTAGTAGGGTGTGGTGTGGTAGTGGGTGTGAGGGGTAGTGGGGTGTAGGTGTGGTGTGAGGGTAGTAGGGTGTGGTGTGAGGGTAGTAGGGGTGTGGTGTGAGGGTAGTGTGGGGTGTGGTGTGGTGGTAGTAGTGGTGGTGGTGTAGAGGGTAGTGGGGTGTGAGTGGGTGTGGTGTGGGGTGTGGGGTGTGGTGTGGTGGTAGGGGTGTGGTGTGGGGTAGGTAGAGTGTGTGGTGTGGGGGTAGTGGTGTGAGGGGTGTGGTGTGAGGGTAGGTAGGGTAGGGTGGTGTGGGGTAGTAGGGTGTGGTGTGGGGTGTAGGGTGTGGTGTGGTAGTAGGGTGTGGTGTGAGGGTAGTAGGGTGTGGTGTGGTGTGTGAGGTGTGGTGTGGTGTGTGTGAGTGTGTGGTGTGGTGTGGTAGTAGGTGTGGTGTGAGTAGTAGGGTGTGGTGTGGGGTAGTAGGGTGTGTGGTGTGAGGGTAGTGGGGTGTGGTGTGGGGTAGTAGGTGTGGTGTGGGGGAGTAGTAGGGGTGTGTGTGGGGTAGTGGTGGTGTGGTGTGTGGTGTGTGGTGTGTGGTGTCAGGGTGTAGAGTGTGGTGTGAGGGTAGTAGGGTGTGGTGTGGGGTAGTAGGGTGTGGTGTGTAGGGTGTGGGGTGTGGTGTGAGGGTGGTGGGTGGTGGTGTGGTGTGGGGTGGTGGTGTGGGTGTGGTAGGTGGGTGTGAGGGGGGTAGGTGTGGTGTGGGGTAGTGAGGGTTGGGGTGTGGGAGGGTAGTAGGTGTGGTGTGAGGGTAGTGGGGTGTGGTGTGAGGGGTGAGTGTGGTGTGAGGGTAAGTGAGTGTGGTGTGGGTAGTAGAGTGTGGTGTGAGGGTAGTAGAGTGTGGTGTAAAGGTAGTAGAGTGTGGTGTGAGGGTAGTAGAGTGTGGTGTAAAGGTAGTAGAGTGTGGTGTGAGGGTAGTAGGGTGTGGTGTAACGTCTGATAGTGGTGGATTGGGTGCTGGAAGGGTGTGGTGGTTGGGGAGGGAGAGAGAGACACACTCCATACAATACCTGTTTTAGTAATATTGTCCCACCCACAACCCCCCGTCTATCCTAAACGGAAAAAAATATCACACTGACTTTGAGAAACTTTCCCATTTAGTTTTTTCCCGCCAGCCTGGGATATTTTTGTTATTTTTCCCAGGACGAACATCACAGCGTAATTATCTTTGCTCCGTCACCTGGAAAAAAAATTGCTTTCATCTCGTGGGGGGGAATTTTTTGGTGATAAATAATATAGCAACGAGTACTGGTGATCGCCCCTCATTCTTTCCCCTTCATACTTTCCCCCCTCATTTTTTCCCCTCATTCTTTCGCCCCTCAATCTTTCCCTCTAATCTTTTTCCTCATT